CCGCCTGGCCGAATGTCGGCTATGTTTACTCGGCCGAGTGTCGGCTTTGTATAGTTTGCCGAGTGCCGGCCACAACCGCCTGGCCATTCAAAAAAAAGCATACAGATAGAAAATTTATAGTAAATTACCTATAGGCACACCATAACTTTCACATTTTCCCTCTTAATACGATAGCCAATAACTCAATGAAGGATATATAGGGATATCCCTATAGAGTAACCATAAAACATTTGATAAAATTTTATTAAAACCTATGGGGTCCTATGGGGGAAAAACTAATTTCTACATTTATGTGTATTTTCCCCATTGAAACCAATAGCAAATAAATCAACGGTAGATAACCCTATAGAACAACTATAAATCCCAACTATGGGTCCTATACATACCGATACAGCCTATAGAAACACCATACATTCCGATACAAATATCTATCGGTTTGAACAGGGTCTCTATGGGGTATTTTAAGCAGGGAACGATTTTGCAGCGGCATGCCGTATTCTGGCCGACTTCGGTTAGAACATGGCCAAACGGTACCGGGCTAACATAACGCGGGCCATAAGCGAAACGACTGGGGGCAAGCCGAACCGCCGGTCAACCGCCCTATGCCGAGCGAAGGCCGAGTGTTTGGTGCTGTAAGCGTACACACCCCCCCAGCAAAGAATCTGTAAAAGTTATACCTACCCCAAGTGATAAATGAAATATAACAACACGGCAAATGTTATATTAAATTACGACAAATAAATAAAATAAATACTTACGGTAATAAAGCTCATTTATTTAGTAACCCAAGGTACTTGTGAGGTGTTGTATTCATGGGGAAAGTATTAAAAGGGAAATAATAAATACAGTAAATAAAAGACAATAAATTACGTTTGAACTCAGATCGAACACCCGGAAGGCTCCCGTTTATTTTTTTTATAAATATCGCTCATAAAACCTTCCAAAATGAGGGATTATGGGAGTGAGTTACACGTATAAACTATTAATAATTTATAACAAACAATAATGATATTTATTTGGATAGAGCAACAAAAATAACCGCAACCCAAACGACATTTAACTTAATTTTCTGAAAGAAAGAGACATCCTACAAACCGTTAAAACCACACAATATCTCCTTACTGCGACCACAACCCAAATATAATATAAATAAATAAATATATATATTATTTATATATATTATATTATTTATCTAATGGTATACCATTAGATAAATAATACATCATACTAGAGCTTAGCTGTCGTATGTGTTCCTCGTTTTTCATTTTAATTTTTAATTTGTTTCTTTGTTTGTTTGTTTATTTAGTAGATTGAGTTTTAGTCTCCATTTTGTATTTTAAATTTAACTTTATTCATCAAGCATTCCATCTGCATTAGGCCTCCATCATCCAAATAAAGTTTTTATAATTATTTACTGTTGAATTTAAGTTTACTGTTAAGTACACACATTTTCATGTAATATTTATTAGAGTTCAGGCTCAATAAACTGTTAGAAAAAGGTGTAAATAAATTAGGCTCGAGATTGCTTCAACTGAGGGTTCGCCATTGTCTATTATGACTCATTTGTCGGCAAACTTTAATAAATTAATAATTACCATAAAATACTAGGTAATCAAAATGACACAAATAACAAAAACAATGTCTGCGTCGCGCAGTCAGATGAAATCAGACCGGCTGGCACCTAATAAAATCTACAGGATAGTAATTCAAAATGGGCTCGTTGCATCAGGACTCCACGGAATGTGGATAAATTTAATGTCGCTGTCGTACAATCACCGTTGCTACTCACTCCAAAGGTAATACCAAATAATTTAATATGACTGGTAAAAATCACTTAATTAATTACGGGACATAAATATGAATCTGCGAGTACAATTTAATAAATCCCGTATTCAAGAAAAACGATATTAAATACACTTAATTTACACAGCGTTTATGGTAAATATGGTAAAATATTTATTTAAAATAATTAAATAAACTCGAGTACAATCCTGACATTTACCCAAATAAAATCGAATACGGCCCTGCCCATTTTAATTAGATAAAATACTCGTAAAACCCTGCTTTTTTAATTTGATAAAATCAAGTACCAATTGTTTATAACTTCAATCAAAATTATAATACGAAATACCTAAGTAGTTCAAAAGTAAATTGATTTCATGTCGATTATATACGGCGTGGTTTATTAAAACGGCAGCCATCATGGCGGAATCGTTCGATCTAGATAGCTAGATAGCTATAGCTATAGCATATATGACGCCAAGTCAAATAATAATAATAATAATATTTATCTTAACACAAGGTATTTGTGTAAACTAATTATACCAAAATGTTCGAGAATATTTATAATACAATAATTTAGTTATGGGTCATTCCACGTTACTCGGGGATTTTTGTCCCGCCCGTCACAATTAAAAATTGTGAGTAAAAACTACACGTTATAAAATTTATTTAAAAATATTGTTTTAGTATGCTTTTAATAAGTTATAAGCACAATAAAAATAATATTATAAAATATTAATTTTATAACTTGTGGTTTTTACTCACAATTTTTAATTGTGACGGGCAGGACAAAAATTACCGAGTAACGTGGAATGCCCCTTATTTAAAATGTACAAACCTACAAATTTAACTACTTTTCTGCACACACAATTTTGCACCTCTAGTCGCTGCAGCGCGCTGCCGGCTCTTCTTGAATCATCCCTTACCCTTGACTAACGGCATTCTTCCCCCCTTCCTTTTCCCACCTAAAAAGGAGAGTTTTTCTACCCAATGGCACGGTACTCGCTACGTCAAATACATTTCCGTCGCGCTAAATTTAAATGTTAGTTTTATTTTCATGGCTTTTTAATACATTTATTTTAAACAATTACCCAGATAGCACAAAGAAGTACTAAAAACGTCCTGAGTATATCTTGTATCAGACATTAGTAAGTTCCGAGTACGTCCGAATCAGGTCCTGAACCTTCCCCAGGACGTTCCAGGGACATCCGATGTTACCAAATCGTCGGTCCCCAGAACGTCCTAAGGAAGACATCCTCTGGCCATCCTGAATTGGGACTAATGGACAAGCTTTACAGAATTGAAGAGTAGTATTCCCAAAGGCCCAGACAGCAATATGACGTCTTAATTAAGTCTTATTTTATTAATTTGTTAAATGGATTTTAGTAAAATCATTTTAATAATTTGCTCGTATTCGCTTATTTTAGGAATTGCGATTACTTCGTCTCACTTTTGTGTAAATTTAAGCGTGCTCTTCACCGGCACCGATAGACGGCCTGTTTCCCTCTTTTGGAGCTCGTCATATCGGGTAGCCGTTTACCTAGGTCTAAGACCGTTTGGTATGAAGCACGGTCTAAATTCTACTTCGCCACTTCTTATATCAAACACAAGCAGTTACAGAAAGAATCGCATTAAAATGTCATAAATGTGACGTCTCCATGTTGACGTCTTAATAATATATATCATATGATTTCAGTAGGAAGTAAGAAAAGAGAATACTGTAAGATATCATATAACTAAAGTCTTATTTATGATACCTACCCTTAGTAGCTTCTAATTTTGATTCCAATAAGAGGTCAGAAAAAAAGATACTTTAAGAATTCTTTATTTTTGTAACTTAAGTTACAAAAATAAAATTGTGAGTTATCAATGAAAAACAAATATTTTGCACATGTAAATGTTGAAATGTCTGAAACACGTTTGGAATTCTATATTCCGCTCTCCTGAAACCGTCAAACTCACCTTCGGCTCGTGTGACAAACTCTTCACTCGAGCGGATATGCTGTATTCCAAACTTGTTACAGAATATACTATTAAGTCATTCTGCATGACACAAACTATTTTTAAATGCATTATCATGATAATATATTATTTAACCAACTTGGCACTTGGATCCTTTACGTCCTTGGGACGTACCCAGTATATCCGCTATAATTTTCCCAAATAAGTAAGAGACTGGACGTACCCAAAACTTCCGATATAGGTCTAGGACGTTCGGACCTATGTGGGACCCGAAATGGACGTCCTGGGTACCTCTTGTGCTATCTGGGTAGGTTCGTAATAACCCACGGATTGTATATTAGGGGGGGTATTTGCAGATCTCCTCAGCGCTTACTGGGTATTTTTCTTTAAACTTTAATTTTTTTTATAGAAATCATAATAACATTATCATTATTACAGTTTATCATATTGAAGTATTTCTAGATAAGTTTAAAAAACCTAGGTTTAAACCCAATTGGGACAGGGGGAACGTCAGGAATTTAAATTGAGAGGGTTTCGGATTTTTTTTAGTAAGGAACATATTTTTGTTTTAAACCAAGTTAAAATTATGGGAGAATTACCTGAATACTCATCGACAATCAGCGCCGCTGGTGCTGAAAAAACAAGACCTAATTTGTGCAATTTAGTGGGCAGGTTTTGTCAATTTCGCCTATTAAGTTCGGACTGTGTAGGCTCCATGGGCTAGACGTTCAATTTATAAACAATAAATAACATGGTAATACCATTGAGTAAAGATTACTCAATGGTAATACCGTTGAGTGAGGTATGATAATACCATAATGGTATTGCATTACTCACAGATCATAAAGGCACTACTGGATTTGGCAATGCCTTGACGTCAGATAATATAAAGTCGCGCTACGCGTAGCTACGGTTTGCTATAAATTTGATACAAAAATCTGTATAGTTTACTCCGTAGATCACACCCCTAGACTAAACTTTGGTCTAGTTACTGATACTAGACTCTAGTATCAGTGATACTGTATCACACCTGAAATCCGTTATTTTACGATGTATCCGTAGAAACGGCAACACTGTAGTTTATTATTTTTTGTTATAATGTTGGCTACTTGAATGACCTAAAATTTGACGTTTAGTTTGGTTATCTATGGTGAAAATATAACCAATATTTATTTCATTATTATGATTAATTAATAAAGATTAAGATTAAGATTAATCTTTAATTTTAATTTAAATTAAAAATAATATCCTAATGCATAAAATAATAAGTGCGTTAATATCAATTGTCCACACTTTTAATATGTTAATGTTTAAGATTACACCAACATAAACAATAATATTGGTATTAAAAAATATAAACATTTATTTTTAGTATGTAGTTAAACATTACTTTTAAACTTAATTAAACGTGATGGGTGTTTGTTGTTGCAAGAAAAAGAATGAAGATCAAGAAAGTTATACACAAGAGACAACCCCAATACAAAATGTGAATGTTCGAACCACAGTGTTTTTTCCACCAAGCCCTGCATACATTAAAGTACCAGAAGCTGTTTATGTAGATAGACTTGTGTTAGACACACTAGGAGTTATTGCAACATTGGTTGACAAGTAAGTACCTACCTACTAAAAATATGCTATTCAATTATTTCCTTATTTATAGGAATTTGTAATATACCACCTGATTAACTCTCCTATTAAATTAAAAACTGATGTGATAATACCATTTAAATTTACATTTTATCACAGTCTAAAACAGTTTATACATAAATAACTCTTTCATAAATCAAAAAGGTGCTTATTTATAATTTACCAGAACTATACTTTAATTTAGAAATTAGCATTTAAATTGATAGAAACTAGAATTGGCAGAGCAATGAGATTGCTCCACATAAACGAATTTTTGTTTATTAAAAAAATGGTTTTGGGGAGTGCTTGGCAAATTTTGTGAATGAATTAAACATTTTTTCCACTCCACTTATTATCGTACATGTTTCCATGACACTAAGTGACCTTTTAAATACATATTGACATGTTGTGGCTTTATGGCGTTTTATTCACGGGCTGAAGTTAGCAACAGATTTTTAGTTATGGGCTGAAGTTAGTATTATTTTGGTTGACAGTTGTCAAATGTCATTCAATCATTAAAATTAAGTGCCTTTCTTATAAAATAATACTAAATGTGAAAATTATTTTATTATCTCAATACAAAAATACAAAAGTATTTAATAGTTTTTCAACTTCAATAATTGAAAAGTTTTTATGAACATTGTACTGACCTTTTAATTTCACCGGCATTAAACTAGATAAAACTTAAATTCGGGCTCGCTCTCCACTGTGAAGTGTTCATAAAACATTTTCTTTACTTTCGCTGTGAAACTGTTTGTTAATTCATTTTCAAGGAATACATTTCGATTTCTAACCTTTATAATCTAAAAATTTTACTTTTGATAGTAACACAGATTCCCCTATTGTTTTATAGATATCGCTCTATGCAAATCTTTGATTTTTTGTAGAAAAAGTATAGTATGCAACTCGTTTATAAACTTTTCTAGACATTAGTATTAGTAATTGCTCGCAAGCTCGCTCGTGCCTAAATTAAATTCGTGTTTAAAATAGAGTTTATCAAATTTGATACATAATATGCAATTTTTTTTATCCTTTTACTAAAGTTGTTCCACCACCATCCAATTAGGGAGCACAGTCATATAAGACTGTGAGGAGACTAAATTTGGCATTATAATTGACCAGTTTTGAGAATTTATTATTATAAACATTTAATTGTTTATACATCAAGCCTATTCTACCATATTATACGACCTTAACTTTCAAATTTTTTTGGAGGGTCGCGCAGATTCCATTTATGTACTTTTTAGACTAATCATAGTTTTTTAATAAAAACAGTTTTACCTATTTATTTAAGTGTACAATAAATGCAAATGTTTCTGTTAAGTAGATTTTAGAAATCATTTAAAAAAGTATTAGGCATTACATAATTATATAAATACAAGGTTAATTTTAAATTATTCCAAAACAGTATATTAAAAATATTATAATAATTATAATCCTAAGTATGTAATTAAAATTGGCTTTTAAAAGAACCAGGAAATTTCGCCTAGGAATAATTTCTTGACAGTCCACTAAAATTAAAATAGTAAAATAGTTCTACATTATTATTTTAGTGAACAAGAACCTCCTAGTTCAATGGTAATATTGCATAACATTGCTGACAATGAAGAAGGCTGGATTCAAGTTGTAAATTCAATGATAAATGTAATTCCTCTGTCAGATCCTCTTGGTCCATCAGTTATTACGTTGTTACTAGATGATTGCCCTCTTCCGTCCAAGGAATCAGTTTATTTGGTAGTAAATAAGCTTAATTTGTCAAAAGAAACTGCAATATTAGGAAGACAATGTCCCACAAAACAGAGAAATATATGTGTAGTTTTGGGATGTATAGCAGAAAAATTAGCTGGACCTAGAAATCTAGATATTTTAAATGAAGCTACAATTGAATATTTACTGACGAATTTGGTATGTTAATTAAATGCGAGCATTGTTATTGGAAATATAACTTTTTTTTAGGATCCTGAAACTGACCCAAATGTTATATTATTTTCGTTAATAGCTCTTGAGAAATTTGCACAGACCAGCCTTAACAAAAATACGATTCTAAAGAAACTTGAAACTGTCAAACCATGTCCCATTGCTGGTTTGGAGCCATGGAAAGAAGAAAAACATCATGTAAAACGCCAAGCAGGATTTTGTTCACAATGGATATTGGATAACTTGTGTAAGTAAATTTTGTTTTGATATCTTATTGAGGTAAAAAACATATTAAAGGGGACTAAACTTTAATAAAAAAAGTTTAAAAAATTGTATTAGTTAAATTAAAATTATCTTCAAATTGTAATTAATTTTATCTAGGTAGATTTTGTTCTTAAAAATTTTACTATTTGTTCTCATATTATAGTTGTTGTGGATAACAGAAATTACTCATATTTACAAGTGAGTATGGACAAAATAAATGCCATGTTAAATACATGTGATGTAAGTGAGTATTTGAAAATATCTCCAGATGGTCTTGAAGCTAGATGTGATGCCTACTCTTTTGAAAGTGTCAGGTGCACTGCTCAAGCTGATACAGGGGTTTGGTATTATGAAGTACACATTATTACTCCTGGTGTTATGCAAATAGGATGGGCTACAAAAAATAGTAATTTTCTTAATCATGTAAGTATTCTACTTAAAATTTAAAAAATTACGTACTAGTTTTTGATTAATTGAACAGTTAAAAAAAATCGAAAACCCAATCTCTAATATCACACATCTAAAAAATATTGTTATGGAAACAAAATAAACAAGGCATCTGCAGCTAGCTGAAGTTAAATTATTTGTGTGTCAAAAAAATAAAAATATAAATCATAATAACTTTGTTTTTATAAGGAAAATTTAACTTTTCATATTTTTTAAGGAAAACTAAAATTGTTTTCTATCCTTTTATAGCTTTAAAACATTTAAATAACAAAAACAATAATTCTAAAAATATATTGTATACTATCCATTATTTTATTCCATGCATAGATTAACCTAAGGTTATTAAAAACAATATGGGTAGGCATTCTAAAATTAAGGAGCCCCTCTAATTATGATAACAATTGTTTTAAAACAAAGCATTACAAAACAAAGCAATATTTATTTATTTTATAGCAAAAATTAACAAATACAAAAGCGTATATTTATTGTAGAATGCACATATTTGGAATAATTTATAATTATTGTTTAATCTGATAATTTATTTTTTTGCCAGAGTTGACTGTGACTGTCACTTATAGGTAATGATGTATGTATCTGTATTCTTTTAAATAATAGTTTGCATCAAGAGCTTTTTAATGATACCAAATACCTGTGGCTTAGTTATTAATTAATTTGATTAAAATTTTTAAAATGACAGTCAACTAAAGACCTGCCTAGATAAAAGGCCTGAGCGTACAAAGGTGTTATCCCAAATAGCAACGCGTGCTACTCACGTATCGAGCATTCGTGCGAGCGCATTTATGTATCAAAAATTGCAATCATTGAGAGAAGAATTTAAACTTCAAATTCACACTGAGCTAGCTGTTAAATTTTTATATGCTATTGTCATCAAGTCCTGGATTTGTTATTTGGTCTTCAAGGTTCGCATAAAATTGACTGGCGGTCCGGATTCCTAGCCAAGACTATGTATAAAACACACAGAACAGAACGTTTTGTACGTTTAATATTTCGAGGTTAGGATTCAAGTTAAATTCCCTTGTAATTGGCCTGCAAAATTTAAAATCGGTCACATTTAAAATTCAGTCGGTCACTTATGGTTGTGGCGGTCATTTATGAAACTTTTGCAATATAAAATGTATGTGATAAATAACAATAATGTAGGTAAATTTTTAACTCTTATAATATCACAGCTAACCGCTCGGACACGTAAACATAATTTTTGGTCGTACATTCCAAATCCGTGCTCGGTTAAGGTGTATCAGGTGTAAAAAAGATTTCCTATTGGGAATCCGACCCGGGGACACACTATATAGGTACTGGTATATTATAATTTGTAAAATAATATATTTCACCTCTTGTGCCAACATTACTCTATGCTTTTTATTTGAGTCGAGCCCAATTGAATTTTTTAAATTTATACAAAGTGTTTTCTAATGGGATGCTCCAAAACTTGAAAATTAAATATCTGAATTTTGACCTGATACAGCAAAACCAAGCACGGATTTGTCATCTACGACCAAAAATTAAGTTAACGTGTCAGAGCATTTAGTTGTGGTATTTTCACCTCCCTACAGTGTTATAACATAATTATGTAAACAATTTTATATGGCAATGTTCTTTGTTAGTTATATCATGGCTATGTAAATGGAACAGTCTGGTTTGCTGGGTATTATTTAATTAATATTAAGGGTGCGTTCGGCGACATATTATAAGAACGCTTTGTATAAACACAACTTCATACAATTGTATGTGGTAGGATTTTTAAACAAATTCGCAAAGTTCGATGTTTTATTATAAAACAATTTTTTTTGTTATAAACAATTAAACTTTTTTTATAATTCGATACCCAAAAAATTTAACCGAGAATTTTAACGAGACATATGTTAAAAGGTCGATTGATAACCCTCGATACAAGATTCACTCAAAATGAGGCTCCGCCGCAAAAAAATATTTATAATATTATATAAAGGGATTTGTTCAGAAAAAATCTTTTAGATGTAGCCCTGATTTTTGAAGTTAAACTTCTTTGGACATGGCACGGAACAATTTTCATTTTACGTTATGCGTTACGCATTACGCTCTGTATGAATGTATATATGTATATGTATAAGTGTAAATATAGTACTTTTACCCAACCGATTGAGCTGATATTTTGCACACAATTTGGGTACTGGTGACAATACATGATAAGATTAGTAACGTCAAACTACGACTGCTCTAAGATGGCGGATTGCCTATTTCTTCACAACCTACTTGACATGGGTATCAAATAAAAGGATTTGACGAGTAGAAAACGATTAGGTGTATAACGTCATACCAAATTCAGTAACGCTGCTTCTCTAAGATGGAGGGTTACCTATTTCTTCATATTTTTTCTTTTAATTTTCGTTGGGCAGTGCCCAATGGGCACAGTAGGTAAAAAAAATCGATACGCGTTATGTTCTGTAAGCATGAAGGTTTGGGCGTGAATATTATAAATTTCTTTCAAAAATTATGTTTTATACAGGGTGTCTCACAACTGGCGCACAACCTTGAAGGTGAGGATGGTCTACAAACCCCCAGGAATCCCAAAGACTTGTTAAAGAAATTCTACCCTCGTTTTTTTAAAAAGATATGAGCATAAACATTGAGTTTTTAAACTTAAAAATAATAGGTTTACCCTAATTATATTCTTTAAAGTCGTACTATATAGATTAGGTCTAATGTACAGAATGTCCAAACAATGGTTTCATTAGGAATTAATATTTCATCTTATAAAAAAAATGCATTTTAGGTTTTTTACTTTAACAATACGGATGCTTGGCAACATGGCGCCGAGCATGGCGCGCAACAATTGATTATCATAACAATTATACATCACACCATAGTTAAAATTCCAAACTAGATTCTGTCATCTCATTTCTGTTAAATATTTATATGTATTTCTTTAGTGAGTAATACTCATTGAGTATGTGTGTTGTGTTTGGAGAATGCTTAAAAAATGCAAGTCATTTAGCCTGTGTGTGTTTCAGTTCAATGTTAATATTTCTTTAGTTTTTCGGAACCAGATTCTGTCAAAAAATAACGGGACATTTTGTGTAAATTAACCTTAATTACAAAAATGACACAATCAACAATAATTAAGTAACGTCAAATTTACTATTTGCATTGTATCATTGTGTCAATTTTGTAATTAAGGTAAATTCATACAAAATGTCCCTCAATTTTTTGACAGAATCTAGTCACTTTAGTTTTTCCTTATAGATTAAATCAATGGTTTTATTAGTTCCTGACAAGGACTCCTTCTGTCCAGTCTGACGAAAAATAATAACATGATGATTAACAAATAAACTACCACTTAGTACTCAATGTTGCCATTTAAAAAAATAAGTATCTTTTTAAATCACGAAGGTAAATAATGACATTCATGAATGACACTCTTGTATGCTAGTCTATGGCCAGCCTAAAAAATACCGATTTGCTTGTTTTGTATTTTTCATAGACTTCCTAGAAACTTTTTCAGCTTGGCACTCATTCAAATTCAAATTTTTTAGTCACTGTAATATAAACATAGGTGTTTGTTAAAAAACGATAATAATAATACTAATTTCTATATATACTTTAATTTGTAATACACATAAATAACAATTACTTACACATTATCTTTATGGTCACTTAAATTAATATTTTATTTTTACTAAAAAAATGCATTAATATTTGGTTTAAATCTATGAAATTCAATAATTAGTTTTCACTTTGTTATTTTTAATTAAATACATGATGAATATATATGTATATATATCCATTTATTGTTTACAATGTTTTTCTATTTTAGGAAGGATATGGAATTGGTGATGACAAATATTCCTTAGCTTATGACGGTTGCAGAAAATTGATTTGGCATAATGCTAAATCAGAACCACAAGATTTACCAAGATGGGAATCGGGTGATGTTTTGGGTTGTTTAATTGATTTGGATAATCATCAAATTGTATTCTCTGTAAATGGATTGAGTTTACCACCAAATATAGATGTGTTCAATCATGCCAGGTAGGTTTGCTTAAAATTCACTATATTTACATTTAATTGCTTTTAACAAGGTATGCTATCAGTTTATTTAAGTTGTTTTTAAAAATCTTCTGTATGTTCGTTTAATAAATAAATTTGTTCATTTAAAAAATCAACAAATTGTTTATCTGTTATACTTTCTATTGATTGTATATTCATAATAGTGCCTAACTTAGCTATAAGAACATGACAACAAGTTAGTGCTGATTGATTTTCCAAAACTTCAGCATGAAAGAAATTACAAAAACAAAAATTTATACCATCATAAACAGTATACTGCTCTTTGGGACGGATTACTTTAAATATTTTTCTTCCACTTTGAGTTTGATATTGAATAATTTTGCACTTTTCCACTAAGTTGATTGCTGTTTCAAATACATCTCCAAAAAGGCTGTAAAGTTCCAGAAGTGAATTTTCACTAAATGATCCATTTTCATTATATTTAGTTTCAGCCTTAATTAATTCACCAAAAGCTATCGATAGTAAAACACTGCTATTCACAGAACTTAAAATGTTTTCAGACATGGTTTTAAACAAAAAACTTAAATAGGTTATGTTTATTGTAAATCGTGTTGCCACAAATACGAGGGTCGCATGGAAAGTTCTTAACCTAAAAAGATTTTTGGATGTTTTTTAATTTTTTAACATACTCTTGCAAATCAATACTTCTATTGCAACAATATTTCAACTTTTTTACCCACAATATTGCGCTCAAAAGATCCACCCCACAACACTTTACCACTCTGTAAAGCTCTTAAGCTGACTTAAGGTAGTACCTATCTCCATTTGAAGAGTTTCCATAGAATGTCCTAAAAATTTAATATATAATTTTGTAAGGCATTAGACAAATTTACAAATAATTTTTCAAATTCCATTTGTTTTTTCATATGCCATTTTTTTTGTATCTCACGAGCTCGCTCATGAGATTTAAATAATTAAATTCTTTATTTGCCCAACATTTTTTACTAAATTGGCACCGTTGAATTTGCTGTCACGGCCTAGGTAGGTACTGTGAATGAAGTTACCTTAACAACTTATATTCTGCATTATTTGCATCCCCCATGGCAGTGGCGGCTCGTGGCAGTAAAATTTGTGAGTTCTGCCAGTGGGGTTTAAAAAATTGTGGCGCATTTAATTAAATGGTACCTACAGTTAATTAATTAAATCATAATTAAATCATACACCACATTCATTCTTACAAAAGAATACAACAACAAACACAAAAATACACCGAATTAACAGTCTTCTAGTTAAAATAACAAACGTGAACGCGAAGCGAAAAACAAACGACCGGGAAGTATGAACTGTATGTTGGTGCAGCTCCGATTTGGATTAAATTTCACTATCTTAACCTAGGGCCAAGAGCGGCGCGGAGCAAAATTACGGTATTGAAATGGGAGCCAGAACTCGAAAGTGGCCCAGCTTTGTTGTATTGTAAGCGTTAAGCGTTAGAGACCTTTACCGGTCGTTTGGATGACTGTAGTGGCCAAGTACGGCGAATGTTTATAATAAAAACTTTTTATGCAGCCATGCGTTTGAAATATTCATACACTGTCGCACTTAAATATTAAATATCTAATTAAAAAATTAGTCAAGTAATAAGAAAATTTTGGGAGTTCTGCAGCTCTGCAGCCCTTATGCACTAGCCGCCCCTGCCCCATGGGAAAACCTAAATAAGAGAAAAATATAACCCAAATGTGGTTATTAATATAAATATAGGAATTTTAGAAAATTATCAGGAATTAAAATAAGTTCGTCATTTTTTTATGATTTATTCTGCGTTAAACTTTTTTAAGAAAATAGAAAAATAAAAAATAACAAACTAATTCATGTTTTTTTGTGAAAAAAAATTTCATAGTCTAAAAGTTGTCGATTTTAAACGTTTTTTTTAAAGAAAATAGTTAAATAAAAAATGACTAACTTATAATTAATGTTTTTTTGTGAAAAACTGAAAAATTTCACAGAATATGACTAAATATTTTAAAATATATGTATGTATATACATATAACAATTGTTTTAATTCTAATAACAAAAAAATTAAAAAATTCTAATAATAAAAAAACTTACGGTTAAAAAAAGTTTACAGAAACGTTTTTGGTGGAAAATGTTCCATATTTTTATTAAACTCCTTAAAATGTTGTTAAAAGTGATTATATATTTTTTCTTCTTTTAGCTCGGGGTTTTTCGCCGCGGCTAGTTTCATGTCATTTCAACAATGTAGATTTAATTTTGGTGCTGAGCCCTTCAAGCATGCGCCTAAAAGAGTTTACTCCACGTTTAACGAATGTGGAACGCTTAAACGAGAAGATAAAATTGTACTTCCTAGGCATATTCTGTTAAATCAGCTTAGACAACAAAATATCGGCGAAGATAGTTGTACTCTTTGTTATGATCAAAAGGCTTCTATACGACTGATACCTTGTGAACATTCGTAAGTATTAAACATATATTTATTTATAGAGTACACCCCACAAAGACAAAAGACGAAGACTATAGACCAACTTTCTATGTTTTACGCGTATTTTTATGAGAACAAATACAAACTGCAGTGCGCACTGCATTGCGCACAAACCCAATCTGATGAAAGGCAATCACAATTAAGTATGTCGTATGACGTTTTCCATGTGTTTAAAATTAAATCGTCCATGGCATGCTGAGAAAATTTATCATTGCAGACGCTTTTTGCCTCACCCCCTCCATATCGGTTTGTACTCCTTGCTCTAGTGTTTGTGGTACACCCTAAGAAATTTATATTTTAAGGATTTTATTTTTAAGATTTTAAATTTATACACAGCTGGCGCGAAATGGCCCAATAACAGTATTCCACGCATTTTAAGTACAAAAAATATGCATGTGATTAAATTCAATATACAATATTCAATTTTATTTTATAAAATAGAGTTTTATTATAGGTTTGGTTTTGCAATGAGTCACGCACAATTAATTTACAGTTTGTGATTTACATTAAATTCACATGTGCTAATATCCAACGCAAAATGGACAGTTTTGGATTTTAACTAAAACAGTACCTCGTTTAAAACTCATACAAAAAGGAAAAATAAACATATCCCAAAAAATTATATATCTTTATTTTCTAGATTAGAATCACTTAAAAAAGTTTTAGTATGAAGGCGCCAAACATAAGTTTATTTAATATTATTATTATTTCTCAGCTAAGCTGGCTTGCTAATAAAGCTAATTCGGCTAATAGTTAACCGGTAATAAACCACTTCAGCAATCATAATATAAATGGAAAAAACACCAAAATACAGGGTGTCTCAAAACTCGCGCTACAGAGAAAAAGAAAACGTGCCGAAAGCGAGATAAGACTAAAAAACGATAGCCAATCCCAATACATGGCCATAGGGAATTCTTTAAATTGCTAGGATATTATATGTAAAATATTTGGTCGACTGGAATCCACTTCATTGTGACACTGCTGTCAATTTTTGTTCCTGTCATTATTTATCATTTTAAGTTATGTTTTTCTCCTCTGATTATGCCGAAATGATGATTATTTGAGGGGAGTATAAAAAATCTGACTAGACATTTGAAATTTAAAACAACATAAGTTTTGTCCTAATCTGATCTTAAATAAATATAAAATACAATTAAAATTAAAAACAAAGCAATAAAGACTGTACAATTGCAAGTACAAGTCGCTTGTTTAGCGTAAACGTTAATAAACAGTTGGGTTAAGCCTGCGGTTACTTTCTTTGTGACGATTTTATCATAGTAATCTATTAGATATTGATTTAGGGTTTTTAAGGAATCAAACTATAGGTATGTACTTTTATTTTTCATATATTTTAAATAATTAAATTATTGTTAATTTCCTATTTGGTTGACGAATATTATAGGACAAATTTCGTATTTTTTTTGGACTTTTATTTTATTTACTAAACTTGCAATCGCAAAGGCCATCAAAGTCCGTTATGAAATTACATTTATTAGTTCATATTTTTATGTAAGTATAAAATTATAATTTTTTTGTGACCATATTCGACCAACTTTTTTTTGTTATTACGGTAGAACCGCGATAACCTAAGGTTGGAAAAAACCGTTCTATTCCGTTGGTCATAATATATATTAATTTACCTAATGTTTGTTTATGTTTACAAACCTTATATTTATATATCAGATTCTATCTTACACAAGGTACATAAATATAAGGTTTATAAACATAAACAAACATTAGGTACATTATTAACGCAGTAAAAAGTGGCATGATGGATGACGGATTTACAAGCGAGAGCTTTTTAATGTTTGGTTAGTGAAACCGCAATAACCCTGGGTTTAACTAGCCTTCATATGTGGATAAAACTTTTCGAATGTATCTTGCATATATCATACAGATTGGATATAAAATCGTGGCAAATACGAAAAGAGAATAAACTTCAAACTGATAACCGAAAAAAGCAATACAAGATAGGTTCCGCAAAGAAATGGGACTGGGTGATATACCTATAATCCAGCTTATTCGACGATTCGGAGCATCGATGTTAATAAATTTAAAAAGTTGTGTTTTGAAACATCAGAATTGTACGTCCAGAAATACAACTCGTATAATATGCCACAAAGTATCCATAAACTTGTTCATGGTTTACAGTTAATAAGAGAAGCCATACTTCCAGTTGGAATGATGTCTGAAAAAGCACAGGAGGCTCGAAATAAAGACTATAAATATTTTAGGGAATTTCATACCCGTAAATTTTCCAGAGTCGATACAATGACGGATTTAATGCATATGCTATTAATTTCTTCAGACCCGGTTGTAAGCAGTCTTCGAGTTAAACGAAAAAAAGTCTAAACACATTTCTCCTGAATTGACTCATGAGAATCAAGACCAGATGATGATTACGATTATAATGACAAAAACTAAAATATATAACGTTATAAACTATAATTGTACACGGTGCGGTAGTTTGACGATTTAAATCAAGTTTAAATTAACCCATTTCTCTTTCTATACATAGATTCTATGTGACGTAAGGATGATTTTGACCAAAAATTAAAAAAATCTATCGAACACTTTTTCTTATTAAGCAAAAACCCCGTATTTTGGACCCTTACCTTGCATTCACTAAATATTTACTCATATTATATTCATTTTTTTAATTTTATTTTGTTCAGTATACGTTAAAACCTCGGTTAAAACTAACTGCTAAATATTATTTATAACAAAAAAATTAAATTTAATTAAAAAACCGTATATACAACTATAGAAGTATACTTCCTTGTAAATAAAGAATATGTATAATTGTACCAAGTGTTATTTTTAAATACATAATATTTTATTCAATAGCCTAATAAAATGTTTATTGAACATTATTTATGAGCAGTTTATTAATTTCTTTGATAAAAGAAACCCGTATGTAGAGAAGTTCAATCCTAGACATGTTTTTAGACGTGCGTTAAAATGATAAAAATACAAGGCGGCTGCTCCATTCCAAAACACAGTACCTATCCAACATTTTTTCAGAACATGTTTTTGCATATACTGTATTAAAACGCACCTTCTAGCCCGGCCTATTTGTTGATGAAAAACACAGCCAAATTAAAAAACTAAAACACGTTTTTCTCACAATTTTGTTTTTTTACACATACTGTGTTTTAGAATGAAGCAGCCGAAAGGATTATTAATTTAAATAAAAAATATCTGCATGAATAAAGAGATTTTATAGGCGGCAATGCAACATAGTAAGCTTAGCCTCAGGGCTGGATGCTCCCGTGGACGAGTTTTGGTTCGTGCCGCACATGACGTCACTTGATGAGTAGTTGCCGTGCGAATACACGAATATTATCAAAGAAAATAGAGAAATATCTGGACATAGTGCGTTTTTATTAAACTTAATATTAAAAAAAGTGTTATAATATGGATAATAGATGCTTTCAGTTCTTGATAACATTTAGGGCTGTTGTTTAAGAGTTGGTGTTTTAAATTAAACTTATAGTCACTGTCCAGAAAATATTTAGAGGAAACAGAAGCGGTCTTAACGTTAATATTGTCTATTCTTTTGCACAAATCAAAGTTTTTCGGGAATCGATTAAATTTAATGTTTTTATTTAAAGGGATTTTCTTGGACTGGTTGTCCGAATTGCATCTAAATATGCCACACCGCATTTTAATAAATGCAATTGGCACGACACAAACTAAAACACAAACAAAACAAGTTAACGCAACACAAAAACAATAATAAACAAACAGAACAGGTTAACACAACGCAATAACAATATTTTGAACACTGAAAAGTAATTCGAACCTTACAGAACGCAAGAACAACAAGTTAAACAAAAAATAGAGCAAGTTAACATCCAACAGCATCACAAAAACAAGAATTTTAGCAGCAGATAATTAAAACGCACGTTAAAGATTTAAAAATACTTAACAAGTGACGTATTTAGGCCCGCCCAACATGCGCACCATCCTATCTTAAGGTGTATGTATCTTGGCTTAGCCTAAATGTCAAGTCCGAGAAAAAAACAAAAGTATGGTTAACTGTCATTTTAGAGCTTAAGCTAAGTGACTAAGTGACTTTTTGCTTGAAATAAAATACAGTTTTTTAGGGCCCAAAATACGGGGTTTTTGCTTAATAAGAAAAAGTGCTTGATAGATTTTTTTAATTTTTGGTTAAAACCATCCTTACGTCATATAGAATCGATGTATAGAAAGAGAAATGAGTTAATTTGAAGTTGATTTAAATCGGCAAACCACCGCACCGTGTGTAATATATTGTAATAATAATGTAATAAAATATTTTTTATTCATCACAGTATTTTTTATTTTATTTTTTTTTAAATTTTTTAAAACTATAAAATAAATATTTAAATTTAATATGTATAAGAATCTGCATCAAAATAATGAATTTTTTAAATAATTGTACGATTGTAAACACAAAAATATTTTTGTCGTGTCAGATTGCTTATCGGAACCACTGTGCGCTTTTCCGATCGTGCCCTGGACTGTAAAGTTGTTTTGCGTTGTAACGAAATTAGAACAGCGAAAAATAAATAAGCTATTTTAAATGCCTTCAATACAAATAGTAGGAAGAGCATAAGGGAAGTTGCACGCGAATTTCCCGTCCACAGTTCAGCGGGTTATGAAGGACGTTCATTTTACGCGAGTGCAGCACCTGCAGCCGGAAGATAATCCCGCTAGAGTGGAATTCTGTAGTGGTTGCTAGAGATTTTGGCTCTGGGGTACAGAACTGGTTGTTTTATTTTTACTTTCAAACATTGGCATCCTTAAGTATGAAAGGTTACTAAACACAGTCGGACAAAATATTTTTAAAAGTTTTAAGACAACAATGTTCTATCGTCTCCTGGCAATTTTTAAAGCTCCTACGTTTAACCTAGGCGAGGGCTCTCGGTATTGGCTGCCGCTTTTTTGCTCTCATTTGATTGTACTATTATTGTATATTACCAAGAAATTTTTAATTTCATTAATGCCGAATTGCGAATTTTAAAAATATTTTTTTAACAAGTAAAAAAATTATAACTGTCAAAGAATTTTGTTATATTCGGAATTTTTATATTTACATATATTTCATTCGTAAAACTTGACACGCATTTAAACCTACAATATACAATTTATATTATAACCTTGTGACGTCAGGCTACTGAGAGAATTTATCGATTTTTAAAGTCATTTTTATTTAAGGAAACATTGATTACAAACAGGGGCGTAGCTACCCCGGTATCAGCCGTATCAATGATACGGGGCCCCCGGCTAGGGGGGGGGCCCGATTGGCTTCGACATGCATAAGCAAAAAACATATTACCCACAAAATTGAGGCACGAAATTAAATAAATAAATAATATTATTATTTAAATGTTTATACATCGATTTAATAAATTAAAATTTTCCTAAATACCCTCCTGTTCCAACGAGGCCGTAAACTCATACGAATTGTTTCTGCCCGCACCTTTCCGCTATGCGTTGTCTGCGGCACAGCCTGCGCATATTGTTCTGTGCTCTGTGCCGCGTACTGAGTCTGCTTTGCGTGTTATTATCATAGGTTATATTAATAGCAAATTAGAAATAATTACACTACTTTACAGTCATTTTGCCCACCATATCTCACTATGACTTTCTTGTGTAGGTAGCGAAAATCACACTTTTCATGGAAGCATTTTCGAGATATGAATTTTCAATTGTTTTTTTTTTAATTTTTTGAGGTGTTTTGACGTTTTAGAGTATACTTCGAGTTCTAATTGATAGATTTGACCAAACAAGCACTTAAATCAAAGGTAATTGAGCCCTCTACAACTTTCTCTGGTATAGTTTTGGTATCGGCTCAGTAGTTTGATACTGCCGATTTTATGAAGTTGAAAAAGTCCTTTTGTTTTACAAAAATCGAGGTTGAAAATTTACATATCTTTCTGGGAAAGATAGAAATCGAAAAGATAAGTCCAGTTTGATTTATTTTACGTATAGATTATACTTAAAGGAAAAAAATAAGCTGCTGTTGATAAATTACGAAGTTATGAATTTTTCAGTGAAAGACCAAAATTCAGTTTTTCGAGAATTTTTTCGTTTTTTCTTCATTTTATTGAATTACATAAAATTTAATATTGAACATTTATTTTAAACATTAAATATTGAAATTAAATTATATATTGAATATAGAACAATAAATATTGAACATTGAAGATATTTTTTTTTAAGTTTTAGAAGTTTTATTTTGTTGTAATAAGCATTTGTTTTTTGGTTGTTTTTGTATTCCATTTCTCGTATGAGGGACCAAATGTAATCACCCATCATGACTGCATCCCAGAAGCCGTGATACCGCTGCTCCATAGCCTTCATTTGCTGGTGAAAACGTTCTCCGTGCTCATCACTTACGTCGTCCAGATTGTGCGGGTTATTTACGCACTCGAATCCTTTACTTATTTTACACTTTTTATGAACTAAATAAAACCATGATAAAAATACCTTGTTAAAATATCAAAAAATAGCAGTAAAATGTCACTATTTTCGTTAAAGAATAAACGTATTACAAAATAAAAGAAAAATCGTCAAAAAGCTGAATTTTGGTCTTCCACTAAAAAATTCATAAGTTCGACATTTTTCCATGTATTTTTATCAACATTAGATGGTTTTTTTTGTAAAAATGTCAGCTTGTGGAAAAAAATCAAAATGGAGTTACCTATGTAAATTTTTTACCTTTGCCATAAAACTATTTTTTAAGTTATTAAAAGATTTCAAGCTATACTCAAAAACGTCAAAACACATCCGAAAAATGAAAAAAAAACAATTGAAAATTCAAATTTCAAAAACGCTTCCATACATGATTTTCGTGTTTAGTGGGAAAATTATAATGGGATATGATAGGCAGAATTTTTTGTAGATTTTGTAGTGTTATTAGCGTTACAATTATTTCAAATGACTTGCCTTTATTTTAAAATAGAAACCTTTTAAAATATGTTGAAGAATTTTTTTTCCAGCAGCTTTTCCCGTATAAGGGCCCCAACCTGATTTTTGATACGGGGCCCCCTCGAGGCTAGCTACGCCACTGTTTACAAAAATCTGTTTTTCAACGGTATGGTTGTTTTTAGTGATAAATCTCTATAAAAGAAGTAGTTTTACACTGATTTTCGACATCATGTCCCAACCCCATTGTTAATGATGAACATTGTAACAATTGCAGATTGGCACCTGCAAATTGTCGCCTTAAATGTACTTGTTTTTTTTATAAGTAATAATTTGTAACGTACACTATGTATTTTCGTAACCCGATTCTTTAAGTATACTGAAATACTTATTTTGGCATATTCGTGATCGTCTAGATAATTTACTTACTTTATAAAAATTAGGACTCTACGTTGTGTATTTACTTACATTGATAATAACGATATTTTGAAATTGGTCAGGTTTAATGAAACACAAGTATTTATTTTTTTAAACCCCTGATTTAATTTAAACAAAGACAAAGGGGTGGCCCGTTGAGTCAAAGCACAGGGAAAAGGGACCATAAAAACCCTGGCGACTTACACAGTTCAAATAAAAATAAAATATTAAACAAAACATAGTCATATGGGTCATAATCACAAGAATACAGTATAAATAATAAGTGGATCAAATAACATAAAAAGCAGATAAACATATTTCATATAATTTGGGTGTTTTTATCAATATTCAAAACATTTTGTACTCAGGTAAAATAGTTATAATAGAGATCGTCATTTTATGACGGAGTGTTGTATTTGTTTACCTTACCACGCATCTTCGAACTATTGAACGAGGATACGATTTTATATAAATAAACTACAGCAACGACATATTTCTGATAGAGAGAATTCATATGCTTTAACAAAGTGCAGATATTTAACCGTAGCCAATAACCACACTATGGAACAATTGCATACTCTGCGAAGTAATATAACGACAGCTATGGTGGTCCTATCTCACTAAAGTGTCGCTATATCACAATATGTTCAAATATTCTTACAAAATCAATGCCCAGAACAAGACAAAAGTATTGCGAAAATATACAATTATTACACATGTCCCAATATTCATGCCTGAGCACTCTCCAAACATAAACACAAATACAAATATAGACACAAATAAAATAAACAATATGCAATAAAATAAAATGGTATAAAATATAAATAAAATACAATACAATAATAAATAGGAGAGCGTCATAACAAGAAACACCGAAACATGGCCCGAACTCTAACCACCAGAAAGTGTCGCGCTGGATAATAATATAAAGAGATTTTTATCATATATAGTAACGTTAAAGTCATTATCAAATATTCCAAATAAAGCGCTAAGATAAGCAGTTTAAATCAAAGTCTCTATCCAGAATCTATCAAAAGACTAAACGATACTATTACCTTACCATGATATGACCTAATGGTAATATCAAATTTAATAATAATAATAATAGCAATAATAATAATAATAACAATAGCATTTTATAAACCTTACCCAAATAATACCAATATTATAATAATAATATAATTGTTAAAAACTTTAGCCTGAGTACAAATGCAAAGAGTTAAAATAAATAAATACCTTAATACCGAGATGATACACTGAGTTTCATAAACACTAAAATCCATTTCAGTTAAATAAAAGTTATACAAAGTTATACAAAAGGAAACAACAAAGTCAAGGCCAGTGTAACTCAAAATAAAGACAATACAAAATAATAAAATTTAAGTTAAATGGAATTAATTCAGTGTATATGATGAACGCGACAACATAAAGATTGGAACTCAGTGTATGCGAGGTACCAAGATATTAAACCAAAATAATGAAATAGTGATACAATAAAAATTATTACCAAAAATCACTCGTTATTTACACAGATTAAAATGATTAGGACCCAATAAACTAGCAATGATAAACGCCATGGACCAAAATGCGAATTAAATAATATTGTTCAAAATTATAAGCAAAAATGTATTAAGAAAACCCAAAACGAGGAGTTGTTTATCATTACTAGCAAATATTACAATTTAAAAAAAGTGTACATACCTACTTACAGCAGAAAATCGGTAACAATCACAAAAACTATAACTATATTATAATATATTTCACAAACGTTTTAACAGGAGTATCTCGAAGGGCGAGCAAAAACCCTCTGTGTCTATTCTATTTCCTAATCTAGCTTTTAAACATCTCGGCCACTTAAGCAAGAATGTCTAACATAAACATTTCTAATATTCCTACGCTCAGATACAAAGAAGTAAAATTTTAACACGCAATATGATTTTAAAACAAAAAATAACTTAAACTATAATATTATTTCTAGTGTATTATTTAAATGTTTTCCTTGGTAAAAATAGCGCCAAATTTGAATTTAGAAGTTTATATACTACAGGACCCTTACAAATTTAATTAATTTATTAATTAAACACTTTAGATTTCTGGAGGCAAAAATGACGAACAAAATTAATATTTTGTTCGTCATTTTGTAAAAATTATACATTAATATGTATAATTTTTACATTACCTAGTACTATTTTAAAACTTTTTATATGTAGAGTTTTGTTAAAAAGTACTGATTATATGACTATAATTTATTTTTTAGTGGTTTCTGCGAATCTTGCGCCAATCAACTGACCGAATGTCCCATGTGTAGAGCACCGTTTCGATTTGTCGAAAAATGTCTGGAGCCATCATCTTGACATATAATACCAACTTAAAACATTCTAATCATTTTTATTTATAAGAATAATCTACTTCTTAATTTTAAACGGGTATTTCAATTTTTAATGTTAAAGGTACAATAAAATTATAATAAGCTTATATCATTCCGAGTAACAATTCTAACAATATATTAGATACCTCTTTTTGGAGCATCCTTATGCTTAACGTATTACAAAGCTCTTTTTTGCATTTGTTTTTAATTGAATTTATGCTTTTTGAAAAATCATAAATAATTATTTTCTGTCCCAAAACTGGCGGTCCAAAGGGTACATTTTTTCAAATTTGTAAAATTGCAAGTGTTAATTAACTTTTTAAGCGGCCTATGAGAGCGAGTATTATAGATTTGTAATCTTGGTTGCCTACCTACATTCAAAGAAACACCACCAATGAGAGGGTAGTATTTCTGCTCTATAGGGCGAACGCCCGATAGAGCAGAAATACTACCCTCTCATTGGTGGCTTTAAAAGTTAGTAAGTGCGAAAAAATGGTAAAGGAAAATTTGTCTTGGGCCGCCAATTTCGTGACACCCTGTATATTTTCTTGTATATAAATTATAAATAATTTAAAAATAATAGGATATATCCGAGGATATATATCAGAAAAGAACATTTTAATTTAATTTTGATTTACTCCTTTTCATTTTTTTAATTAGGATTGCTGTTTACTAATTAAATATATTTCAGGGTTTTAAAGGTCTTAAAAAATTACCTCCTATTTTAAAACCAAAATTCGTTGCTGTTTGCTATAAAATCTATTTCAGTGTTTCGAGGGTCTAAAATATGATTACCGGTCACTTTTCCGAAAGTCATTTTCCCGACAGACCATTTTCCCGACACACCATTTTCCCGACAAGATTTTTCCCGACACCATTTTCCCGAAAGTCGTTTTCCCGAAAGTCGTTTTCCCGACAAGCCATTTTTCTGACAAGCCATTTTCCCGACAAGTCATTTTTAAGACAAATAATTTTTACCACAAACGACACAATATATTTTAACATAGTGACGTCATCCAATGACGCAATCTTAGGACGAGAAGCAGATCTTTTTTCCTTAACCAACGTCCCGAGTCCGCCCGCTTCAAAACCAACCCAAACCCAACAACCCAACCCAACCGACCCCGCCCCATTGGCCCTTACAGAATTCCAGAAGGAACAAGCGGATACCGAAATCATTTTTGACCAGGTATGTTTTTCTTTACTAGATAATAAAACTTTTGTCGTGAACATAATCTTTCGGGAAAAGGGCTATCGGGAAAAACGTTTCTTAACTGGATAATAAGATTTTTGTCGTGAACATAGTCTGTCGGGAAGAGTGCTGTCGGGAAAAACGTCGTCGGGAAAATGGTTTGTCGGGAAAATGGTCTATCGGGAAATTGGTCAGTCGGGAAATTGCATTCGGGAAAGTGACCGGGAACCCTAAAATATATTTTTAAACATACATGTATGTCAAAAATTTCTTTACTAATAGAAAAGTTTTTTTATTGATGTAAATAAAACTAAAGAACCCATAAAGGTTTATTTACATAAACCTATAGGTAAGGGTTTCAACTGAGTTATAACTAGTACATTATGTAGGTACTGTACAGGGTGATCCCCTATAATTTCGCCCCCTTTAAATTTTTTATTTTAAAATTTAAAAAAATGTTTATTTAGGTACTGAAAAATACTTTTTTCCTACATATAAAAAAATTAGAAAATGGATCAGTATACAGGGAAAAACAAAATTTTTATTTTTCTTTCTATGGATCACCTTATATATGAATTTATTTTTTGATTCCTTGTAAAATTCTAAGCATAATTCGTTTAACATACCATATACCTACCTAAATTCAAACGTTTCATAAATATTCGCATTTGAAACGTTATCATCAAATATTTTTTAAGCTGTTACAAATCAAGAAGCGTCAGGATAACAGAATGTTTATTGAAAATAAATAACTATAGTGACATTATGTCAATATTAATTGTTAAGTGAGTAAAAATGCCGTACTCAGACAGAGAAAGACAAACTATTTTAACTTATTATCTTAAAAATAATTTAAATATTTCAGGAACAGTTGAATTTAGGTATATGGTATGTTTTATAAATTATACTTAGAATTTTACATGGAATTGAAAAATAAATTTATATACATATACATTAAATGCAAAACTCTGTTTTTACAAATTTTTAACAAATATATATTTTATCCTATTTATGTACATTACTTCACTGCCTACAGCATAACTAAGTAAACCAGATGCATAAGTTAATATTTGTAGAATAAAATACATTTAAAAACTTAAAGCAGATGCAAAACTGGGTATTTGTTTCTTCGAGTCGGATGAAAAACTCGGTATTTGCTGTTGACCAATCACGTCGCTAGTATACGCATTACGTGACGACATAACAATCACCTGATTAATTGTTATTTTTTGGTATTTACACTTTTCACTTGCAAAACTTGGTCTTTGAACGAGGAACATGCAAAACTATGTTTTTTAATCTCTTGATTTCAATTATTTACTAAACTGCCTAATTTTAAAGGATTTTTTTTTTACCTTTTTTAAATAAAAATGATGCAAAAGCACGTCTATTCAATTTTTGCATTTTTTTTCAAAAATGATCTTATGAGCGGTTTTTCATGTTTTTCTTAAAATCACTTACCCTGCAAATACAGAGTTGTGCATCTAATGTACTCATATAGGGTGATCCATTGAAAAAAAAATAAACTTTGTGTTTTCCGCTATAACTTTCTCTGAAGCCCGCCTTCTATCTCATATTTCGCTTCTGGATTTGGGTAACCTCAGGTTACTAACCTGTAATTGTTTTTCTCTCTTGTGATTAGAAAATTCGCTGTTCTTTTTTAGTAACAAAATCATGTTAAAATTCATAAGTTAAAATTTGTTTTTATATTCTTAAAAAATAGTATACACAGTATGTACATAGGTACTATGTACCAATTAAATCCATAAGCAAATTGTTTCTGAAACATCTGATTTTCAAGAATATAAAAACAAATTTTAACTTATGAATTTTAAATTAACTTATGAATTTTAAATTAATTTATTTCTTGTTGCTATTATAGTGAATTACTGAGATAATTTTAAGGTAAAACAGCACATAAATAGCTTAAAATATATCGCGTTTATAGTTTTTATTTATTTAATATAATAACATTTAGAGATTAATCAAAATTAGATTATATATTATACCATTTAACAAATTATTTATGAAACACCCAGTTTATTTTGATTTATATTATTATCATTGCTTTGCTTTTATTACAAAAATTAAGTAAACTAACACAATATTTGTAAAATATTAATATTTGTATTCTTATTTTGTATCTCCAAATGTATATAAATTGGTATTGTTTAGACCAGTAGTGTTGTTTAACTATTTAATTAAATTTTTAACACATTTAATGTGGTCCTTGGAAATACTTAGTCTTAAATATTTATATATAGGTACCTATTTATTAAAATTACAAACCTTTATCAAATGACAACCTAGCCAGTTATTTAAATTTTATTTATATTAAATTCATATTTCAGTTTGAATTAATTTTATTCCAAAAATCTTTGTTAAGAAGATTTGTCGATATTATAAACATTAAAAAATATGTTCAGTAATGTATGCTCCATATCCTAAATATTTGCATGATAAGACTAATTTTTAATTTATAGATATTTTTCGCTAAACTTTTACTAAATCCAACCCATAAAGTTAAGCTAAAATATTAATTTGAAAAGCTGTAAAGGAATGTAGATAAATAAATAGGGTCTAACTAGGCTTTGATTTATCCTGTATTTGTTTTAAATGCAGTATGTTTGTAAATTTTGAATTGTAATTACATTAAAAGTAGGTATAACAGTTTTTATGTAAATTACAATTATTCTTTAAGCTATTTCTATATGTATATAATGGGCCAAGGCTTGCATTCAGGTTGTAAAAATATTAAATTATTTTTGCATAGAAAAAAGTTGTTTCTATAAATATTTTTTAAATATATTTAATGTAATGTTAGTGTGATTTTATTATCCTTCCAATCGACTGTAACTTAATTATTTTTCAATAAGTTTTCAAAATTAAAAAAAAAACTAATCTGGTGTCCAAAACTAAAAGTTTAAAGTGATAACTATGTGTTGTTAGAGGATGGTTTTTAACCTCATAAAACTTGTCCATCTCATAATATATTACATATCATTTTTTATTGATGACGTTCTTTAGCTGCAAATTTTACTCCATGTGCTATTAGGGACGAAAGTACGTACTTTCAACCGAGGTAAACTTTCGTCCCTGCTATTAGGGACGAAAGTAAGTACGTTGAAATCTCGGTCCTGCGCGTCATGATACCCGAGGCGAAGCCCTGAGAGTGGCGGCTGGTGGATTTTGGGTATACCAATATCTCAGTTATTAGACATGGGACCCACACCAAATTTATAATAGTTTATAATGACATTAAATAAACAAGTTCGGCGCAAACAGAATTTAAATTGAAGTTTGCGAAAAAAAGTTAGTTTTTTCTGTTGCCTTACCCGCCTCCAGGCCCCCTATTTGAGATAATTCAAATTAAAGTGGTGCAATTTATTATCTAGTATAATTTATTGACAAATTTAAAATTTTATTTAATATTTAAAAAATCCAAATATTACAGGTTTTATACCATTTTAAATATTTTTTTATTTTAATAAAATAAATAATAAAAATTTAAAATCGAATAAAATCTGTAATATTTGAATTTTTTATATTTGTCGATAAATTATAGTAGATAATAAATTGCACCACTTGCACCACCGCCTGGAGGCTGGTGAGGCAACAGGAAAAACTAACTTTTTTTCTCAAACTTCAATTTAAATTCTGTTTGCGCCGAACTTGTTTATTTAATGCCATTATAAACTATTATAAATTTGGTGTGGGTCCCATGTCTAATAACTGAGATATTGGTATACATAAAATCCACCAGCCGCCACTGAGCCCTGTAGTGTAATATACTATTTTATTGCTAAGAAATATTTTTTTAATTTTTTACTGTGTTAAATAAGACTTAATAGATATAATTAACTATATTTTAATAAAAAAAATAAAGGTCTTTATTTTTTAGATGCCTTTTTTAGATGTTCGCGATGAAACGATTGCGAAAATAATTCAATAACTTTTTTTATTGTAAATAAATACATATTTTATATCTTACTTACACTTTAAGAAATAAATAAATTTATTTGTATTATGTTAACATAATTTGAATTTTAATATTTATTCCATTAATAATTCCTTACCCAGCAAACACAACCGTAGAGGTTTTGTAATGGCCCTTTAAACGAGTGCCTTTAATAAACTAAAGGCCCTATAAAGGCTGACTTTAATGGACCTCTACATATTATGTCGCGTTCACCTTTTATGGGCATGTAACGGCAGTCGATAAAGACACTTACAAGAACCGCTAAAGGTTCCGATATGGCAGGTTAAAGGTACAAATGTGGCAAGCTAAAGGTTCTTATATTGGGTATTAAAGATTCTATAGTGGTTAGTTAAATATTCTTTAATGGATAAGTAAAGTACCTATTATGTCGGATTAAATGTGGTACCTACCTATATATTTACTATAGGAACGGATATTCCATGATAATTGAAATATTTTATCCCGACCGATTTTTGACGGTAGGGATAAAAAATTCCCAAATATCGTGTAATATTCGACCTAATAAATATATACTTACCAAATTTAATCCACCATAATAGATAGGTACTTTACTACCTATATAGATAACAGTCGGGACAAAAATTTCGTTATCATGGAATGTCCCTAAAACTTTCAAAAAATTAAAAAATACAAAGTGTTTAATGTGTTATAAAATACATGTAATTCAAACATAATTATAACATAACATATTTAATTAAAAAAAAAACTTAACAAATATTATAAAATAAAATCAAATTTCTTTCAGTAAATAAAAAAAAATTAAAATAAGAAAAATTAATAATTTCATTGATTTTTTTCCTCTAGATTTTTACGACCACCATCCCTGTCGATTGCTCCCCTTAACCATGCTTTTATAGTATTTTCAATATCTTTTGTAGTGGCTAATTCAAATTTTAGCCTAACCGTTTCTAAAAATTAATTAATTTTTACTTAAAAGTATCATTAGTAAAAGAATATATTAACCTAGGTTATTAAATAGTACGACATTAATGTAAAAATTGTACAGTAAAAATACTTACTTGAAAAAGGTACTACCTAATTAGTTCATTAATAATTAATTATAAAATACACCTATATATTAGATAATTAATTAATATATCTCAAAACCTATATTATTTTTCTATATGCATATGCATAATACCACTAACATGAGGCAATTCATTAGTAAATATGGTGTAAAGCAAAGGAAAACATTTGGCACTGTAATGGTGTGTTACAGTTCCATTAACTTGATACTTATAATTGCCATATGTGGGCCTTTAATATTAAATTATACATATCATTGCCTGAAAAGGGCCATTGCAAGACCTTACCACGACAGCCTTTGGTCTAAATTGACATTTATTAACGAAAAATTCCTGTAGAGGCCCAGTACAAGAACAGCTTGGGTTAAAAATGCCATCATTTAACCATTAAACGCTGTAATGGGCCATTACATTACCAGACATGTGTTTGCTGGGTAACTTCTTCATCCAGCATGTACATACAGGATATATCCTCGTTTGTTGATTTTAGATTTGTTTCTCTTGAAAACATATATCAAAATTTTTTAAAATCGCTATTTTTTAATTCTGAGCTTCCTCAAAAAGTAATGTAACCTAATAGTTTTTAAAGATGCAAAACAAGGGATTATTAATTAATTTATAAAATATTTTTCCTTTAAGATACCTACAAAGCAAAGCATTATCTATTAATTAATACCTACCTAATAATTTCTTATAAAAAGGTAATTAATAATTAATCCTATAGGGTAAGTATACTTTGTATATATTTTTTATTAATATTAAAAAAAAATTTATACATGTTTAAATATTTATAATAATTAATAAATTCAACTTATGAGCATAGATCTGGGGGTACGAAATATCCTTTTTCTATGATCTATGATGTCGACGCTCGTACCTAACTAACCGTACGAGCGCTTGGGATTTAGCCATGCAGCGCGATAAATAAAAATTCATAATTTTTCCATATGTGCGTACTTGGAGCTAATTTTTTGTGTACTATCCCCTTCGGGGTTTTCTATGACTATCATGGACACCAAAAGTCCCATGCGAAAAGAGATAGCGCATGCAATACAAGGCTTATTATTTTTTTTAAAAATTTGAAAAAAAAGTTGACCCAAAAATATTATTATTATTTATTTTCTTGTATCAGCGACAGACTTTAGGAAAATTGATTTGTTGGCATTTAAAATTGCTCATTTTTCTGAAAAATGTCATATTTTGCATAATATATTTTATAAAGAATTTTAATTCCAAACGGAGAAACAATTTTATTCCACTATGAGGGTGGGTGATTCGTAACATTAACCGTTGTATTAATTCTAGAATAAAATCTAAAATTCAGAAATTTTAAAAATTACTAAAGATTTTGAAAAAAAAATTTGCAATATAGAGTTATCAAAATCGTGCATCAAAAACTTTACTGTGCGGCGAGCTATGTGAATTATTGAAAATTTCTATACATATATATCGAGTCAAATGTAGTCAGAACATTGACAAAGTTTAAAAAAAAATTAAGTCGCTAACTTCAACGGTTGTGGAAATATGAATTTTTATCCAAGAGTCCTGAAATGCGCGCGTATGCTATACGGGGTTTGGGTAGTTGAATCAAGTATCGGTGCATTTTTCGTTTTTGCGTTCGAAAATTTGTTTCCAGTTATATGTATGTTGTATTATTCTGAATAATACATTATACATATAACTGGAAACAAATTTTCGAACGCAAAAACGAAAAATGCACCGATACTTGATTCAACTACCCAAACCCCGTATAGCATACGCCCCGCCCACTGACGGCGCGAGCAGATCAGGCAAGACAGAGTAAGCATGTCGACACGGTTTCGAATATCCGAGCAGTGTCACATACATAAAGAATTCTTAAGCTTAGTCTTAAGCTTAGTCTTAAGACTATAGTCTTTTGAATTAAATAGATATTATTGTAGATTTCACAACAGTGCCTATTGGTTGTTTTGTATTCGCGGCAAGGTCAGAGAGAGAACGATAAAACCGGGTGGGACTTTATGATATCATGTAGATATCAACGTGGAAATCGGAGGCAATGCCTATATGATTTTTTTCTCTTAATTTTACCAATGTCTCTTTAAAACGTTATAACTTTTAATATTTATTTTTTTATTCAAATAGGAATTTTTATATACGTAGAATAAGGTGTACTTTAAACTTATTAAAAAAATATATACATTTTTTTGTTTGAAATAGTTTATTAAATGCACACATGTGTGCGTAATTTTTAGCCAATTTTACTGTTTTAAAAAAATTCTAGGTGTCATAAAATCAAAACATAACTATCTAAAAATATTTCTTTACCAACATCTATAGCATTAAGATGTTTTTAACAAATTTTCGTCATAAAAATACCCATAATAAAAAGTTTTTAAAAATGTATTTTTTCCGCCGATAAACCATAGTGCATCGTAGCGATTTTTCAATCTTTTAACATTTTTTAACTGACCCTGCATTTATGTACCTATATCATGCGTAGAGAAAAATGCAACTTATTTATTCGACTTAGAGCCATGTCAGATATCTAACGAAATTAAAAAAAAAATTAGCCATGCTCAATCTCAAAACTACCCACGACCCATTTACCAGATCTTGAGAGCAGGCCGGCCTTGAGAAAATGAAAATTTAAAGTTTTTCCATATGGTCAAAAAGAGCTCATCAAGTACTATCTATTGCGGTCTTTAATCGCACACACTCTAAATGTTTGTAGGTATAGGCAATTTTGTTAAAAAGCGTGTTTTATGCACTTTTGAATAAAGTGAGGCGGCTTTTATGCAGAGATATATATATCTCTGCTTTTATGCTGTCCTGTAAAATTTACCACAGATCATAAAGGTTTAAAATTGACTTACAAGTTTTGGAATTAGGCCGACGATTTGGTTGCTTAACAAGGAGGTGAATGTAGTCGGGGTTGCCTATAGACAGATGGAGATGCATACATTTCATGTTTTTTTATTTGGAATGTTAAGTCCCTAGTTTGATCCACAAAACTAGTTAACCTTTATAATCTGTGTTTGTGGTTTGATCTAGGGTTAATTCCATATACCTATAACTCTATAACTTTAAGTTATAGGTATATGGTTAATTCTACATCATAGTGATCATAGAGATACAAACACTATGTTCTACTTTTTATGATGTTTTCAGTTTTTCTTTATTGCAATCCTTGTTTTTGATGTACACTAAGTTTTGTGAACAACGTACAGATTAATTATGAAGGCGTAAATTGTCGTGTTTTGAAAGTCGCGGCAGTTACTGGGGAGTTTTTTTTTTGTTATTTGTTTTTTAATGTTGGTATAAACATCGAAAAGGCCATGATTAAAATATTTTCACGTTAAAAAAATAAATATATTGTGATTGTTTGGGATTATACAACAAAGCATAAATAAATAAACTCTTCTGTTATTTAAAATCAGGTGTTAAGCTTGCTCGATATATTGATGCCTAATTTGAAATCACGTGCCTTTATAAATGCTATGTTTTGATGGTAAAACAAAATGGCGAGTAAGTAAACTGTTGGTTTTTGATAAATTTATATGTGACGTTCTCATTGATTTTTAGAAAATTCATTGAATCATGTTGAGTGTAATGAGGATTCAGATGAAGGTATGATTTTTTTAATAATATTTCCTTTTATTTTGGTTTGCTTGGTAGTTTGTTTACTTTATATGCGCATATTATATTTTTATTTTACATAACAGCTATTATTAAATCTATATAAAAGATAATAGATTATAAATATACAACGTAGCAGATCTGTGATAATAATTAGGATAATTGCAGTTAATTTAAAATGCTGTGGATTCTCATGGATGGTGCTGTCACATTGTATTGTTTTGATTTTGCTTTTTATGCCATTTAAGTAATTTTACCACAGCTTATAAAAGAATATAAAGGGACCTCGAAAGGGACATTTACTATATTTCTCAACAAAATGATAAAGTGTGGGATTTTGGGCCAATATACTATAGAAAGGTTGTGATTCACATTTAAATGAGATGCAGCCAGGAGCCTTTGAGAGCCATAAACACTTTCCAGCAGGACTTTTTTCGTGGTCGTCATATTAATACAACAAACCTATCATTTTTGATACAAAAGTTGTCACCAAGTTAAACTTTAACATAAAACAATAAAACCAAAGATTATAAATAAAACCACTTAAGCCCGCTGCACAATAGCCCGGTAACGGGAATCTAAACAATAAACAACCACTGTTGATCAATAGTTTTTGCTGTCTCCCCCACCTTTACCGTTTAGGTTCCCATTCTCATTACCGGGCTGTTATGCAGCGGGCTTTAAACCTAAAAATTTTACATTAAGGCTTTATTAAACCGAAATTGCTCGGGACATTATCAGAATTTTTAGAAAAATTTAGTTCAGAAACTACTTTGATGTAGGTAACTTTTGTGTAGTGAAAAGTGTCAATGCTCTGCCTACTACAGAATGTCACAAGTTTCAGTGTAGTTGTTTTGGGCTAAAAAGGTGTTCAAAAATCAAAAAATTCATTTCAATATTGGTGGTAGCTGGTGAATTTTGGTTGGAGGTACTGAAATACAATAATGGTTATAAAGGGTGTGGTTCCAATAAGAATTTCGTAATGGTATTATTAAAGAAAACTAAAGTTAAATCATCCATTGCTATCCCAGCTGAGGGGTAAACCACTTAAAAATCAACAAGAATGTTCAACATTATATGGACGTTGTATTCTGATTTTTCCTTATCAGTCGTTATCAATAAGAAATTTCTCTTAGAGAAGTGTTGCTCATAACTACTCTTGTGATTGTTTTCCATAGCCGTCAATTCGTATGCAATTTTTTATTTAAAAAAAATCAGTGGTACGAATCATTTAATAGCCAATATTTGCACAATTTAATTGAGCAACACAACCCCCAATAATTGGCCAACTTTATTTGTTATTTGTTCTTAATGTTAATATTCTTATAACAAAATTACCTATGTATTTTGCAAATTACAATGGTAAAAGTCAATAAGTTTTCTAAATAGTAGGTATATTATTATTTGAGAGATAATTCAGACTATTCACGAGGATGAGGTTTGAGTCGCCAGACGAGAGACTTAAATCATCCCATGGAATGAATACTCAATAAGTACCCAATAAGTGGAAGGATATATGATTTTCCAAAATAAATAAATAAAATCTGACAAATTTCATAGATCTTTTATATATTGAACAATTTTCGTGGATACTATCAGAATTATACAGACAAAAATTTGTAGTAAAGAGAAAAAAATAATTAGGTACTCACATGATACAAGAATTGAAAAGAATTGTGTAATTAATTAGCTTTTGGCTATTTTGTCCTTTTACTCGCCCTGTTGCTGCCTGTATATCAATGTCATTAATGACTTATTATCTGATGGACAAAAATAAAGTTGTTGATAACATTTCTGCTGTTAAATTATAATTTACACGCCCCTGCTGAATTTAACTAACGCAACAATGCTTTCAACAATTTTTTTTTATTTGTAATGCTTTCAATTATATTATATAAATACATAGTCAAGGGTGCCCAATGAAATTGCTCCTATCATTGCCTAGTAATTTGCCAAATAAATTGAACAAACAATGTTTGTTTAAGGAAAACACCAAAAGCAAATAATCATATAACTTTTCAATCTGTCAATAATTTATTTATTTATTTATTGCTTAAACGGGAAAACCCCATTACAGTATAAACATTACATATAAAGGTTGTGTCTTGAAAAGAAGACAATTACAGTTAATCACTAAATTAAAAATAAGTAACAAATTCTTTAAACAGATAATTAACATTAATAATAAAAAAAATAACAATTCATTTATCCAATAGTTAACAATAATAATAACAAATACTAATAATAGGTATATCACTAAGCTAACAAATAATATTCAAATAGAGATCACAAGTTAAATTAATTCGATTAAAGCTCTCTTAAAGGAACGAAAAGAACCCCTAAATACATCCAGCCTTTCCTCCCTATTTAAAAAATTCAAAGACCTCTCAAAAAAAAATGTTTACCAAAATTGGACGCCTTTCTGCAGAAAGGAACCAACCCACAAAACCAAAAAAATCGAGATATTTAGCCTATGAACTAATTAAGTATGTATAATTTATCTGCAAAATAGGTCATAGCCAAAATGCAAGTGTAGTGAAATCTATTAATCATTGAACCAACCAACATTCAATAATAGTGTGGATTACTAATCCAAAATTAGAATCTGTACAGTATCTGCAAGTGGGTTGGATCTTTTTTGTAAAAAAGCAGGCTGGTAGACCCACTACCAAAGTCTTTAAAGATTTCCTGCTTCTGCAAAATATAAAGTCTTGATGCATTTTTTTGGTAGCTTACAAGATGAGGTGGGGTTGGAAGATGATGTGAACGAATTTCAAATAGAATCAAAATTAATTCATATTACCATTATAATAGTAATATCAGTTGTATTTTGTTTGGAAATAAATAATTGTCGCTTTTCTTTAAATACATACATACATCAGATAGTAGTTTTCATAAATTGCAGAAAGGAACCAACCAACAAAAGCCCATTTTTTTCGTCACCCTTACACATAACATCACAAAATCCACCTGATGAAATTATTAAATTATATCCTTTAAACCTCCGTAAGTCCAAAATCGGCATAAAATTAATAGGTAATTTTAAAATTATTAAAATCTTTGATAGCTTTTTTCTCAGTTTCATCATGGTGTGGGTTGGTCCCATTCTGCAGAAAGCCGTCCAATTGGTCCTATGATTTCTTATAAAAAATGAATTATTGTGTCTTAGTATTCTTTGTGGTGTAGTAAATTTAATTTGAGAGAGTAGAAATGGACTAGATATTATACCATTTAATAATTTATAAAGAACACAGATGTCAAACATAGTTCGTCTCTTTTCCAAGGAACATAAATCAAAATGAACTAATATATCAGAATAATCATGGTCAGCAATAATATTAAGGTTAAATTTAAAATTACAGTATCTCAAAAACTTGTGTTAAACTCTTTCCAGCAAATCCTTATACACATTGTATTGTGGAGACCAGATAACTGAACAATATTCAAGTTGAGATCTAACCAGAGCTGCAAGCTCTCAGAAAACTTAAATCGTTTTTTGATTTAAATCGTTTTAATGACTTAAGTCATTTGTTAATAAGTCATTTCTCTAAAACTGACTTAAGACTTAAAATTTAAGTAATTTTCAAAATGATTTGTGACTTAAATATTTTTTTTTAAATAGAAAAAACTTAAGTCATTAATAAAAGGCTTAAATCAGTATGTACGATTTAAGTCAGATAGAAACAATTTAAGTCAAAAAAAGATTTAAGTCTTTTTGAAAAAGATTTAGGGTGAAGTGGGGTAAGTGTAATCAAAAAAATGATACCTCAACTTTAAACTAAAATAACTAGGGAACCAATAGAGGTACAGGGCCCATTTTTTGCGAGATTATTGCTTATTTAGTTGTTTAAGAAATGCAAGTAAAACCATTTTTCTAACCGCCTTATTCTTTTATATATAAATAATAATGCTGGACCGAGTGTGCTGATTACACTTGCCCCAGCATTTGGGGCAAGTGTAATCACGACTCGTAGTTGCTAACTAGAAATCGTGCTAATGGGTCTGGGGCAAGTGTAATATAGAATACAAAATTCTGATTTTAACGAAATAAAGAACAAATTTATATCTTGTATGATAAGCAAGTTACAAGCTTTTTTGTGGTACATACTAAGGGAATAAAACTTTGGTAAAAATCTGAAGCAAACAAGAATACATTACAAAATTATAAATTAAATCCAAATATTAAAGACTGGGGCAAATATAATCACCGATTACATTTACGCCTGACTCTGTGATTACACTTACCCCATGTATAGATTTTCTGGGGTAAATGTAATCACTACTGTAAATTTTGTTGTCATCATTCAAATCAAAATCTGGTAGCAGGACTGGATTCCTCTTGTAAAATAACCCAGGATAGCAAAATATTTGAACCCTTTTTTAATATTCATAGCAGGAATCTAAAATAAAAAAATTTAGGTGACACTCATAAGACAAGTCTAAATAAAAGTTAACTTAAAAACAATTTTGATTTTGCAGCCAGATCCCCAAAAAAGGTAAAAAATCCACAAATGATTAAAAGAAGGGTTATATTTTTGAGTTTTAAATAAAAAAATGCCAAAAATTTCATGAGAAAAAATACAGGGTGCCTGATTACACTTGCCCCAAGATTACATTTACCCCACTTCACCCTAAGTCTTTTTAGAAGATTTTTCATATATTTTTTTATAAATTTTTAACAGCGGCATTTTCTTTTGAACTGCCAGGGGTTCACGCGGAAGCAGATCAAAATCTCCTTTAATTTCCTACCTACAATTGCTACCGCTGAATGAATTAAAAAAAAGTGGGGATTTATAATTTTGTTATTTTGTTTGCCAACATTTGTCGTGTTCGTGCGTAGGTAGGTCTAATTTGTGATTATTAGTGCAAAGTGGAAACAATCGGTCGTGAGCAGTCGTACATCTTGAGCTGTCGTGAATAGAGAGTTTGGAACTTCCCATCATTACTCCCTTAAGGGAGGAATATTTTTTTTCTAGATGGATGTTGAACCA